GGTTCTAGCACGTACCCAAAACCCTGACCAGGTCCTGCACGTAGTTTACTTCACATGGTTTCAACTAACAGACACTCATCTCCATCCTTCAAACATCAGACGTTTGGCCGCACGTATCTGAATGAGAATCAAACCAAGCAGCATTAGGTCAGGACCTTAAGAATGCCAGAAATTTTCTCCCACCCTTTAAAGATTGAATATTAAGAATGCTTTCTTTTCTAAAAGAGCAGTCAGGCACTGACAGAGGGCAGTGGGGGACTCCCCATCCATGGAGGAGGACCATGGTGAGATGTGGCACTTGGGGACACGGTCAGCAGGCACAGTGGGGGTGGGCTGGGGTTGGATTCGCTGATCCTTATGAATCCCTGCCAACTTGGAATAACCTCATGGTCTCAGAAGTCTTTCTTGGATACCCCGTGCTGGGTACCAAGCTCAGAGCTGCCCATGTTGGGGCAGGGCATCCTCTGCACACCAAGAGTGCTTATCTGGGCCATCAGCAGGAAGGTGACGCAGAGATGAGGGGCGGGCAGCCCAGCTTGTTTTCTGCTCCACTTCCTACAGCTACCCACAGCACAGATGCATCTAACAAACCGAGACGCTCCATTTTCTTCCCCCAAAAACTCCCTGCTGCATCCTGAAAAAAAAGGGATAAAAGCAATGTGCTTCTCTGACCCAATCTCAGACACGAGGCACCAGCAGCTGACAAATTCACGGGCTGTTCCCTGCAAGCTGACACGTGGCTGCTTCTGAGCCACGCCACAAACAAAAGGGGATTGGGATTGGTGCAAGGAGAGGGTCTTTGCTCTGTGGGGTCAGCAGTCCCCACACGGGCAATGCAGACCTTGGCCAGCCCTCTGCAAACAGAGCTGGTAGGATGCCCACACTGCAGGCCTGAGGAACGTGCTCCTATAAGGAGAGAATGAGGTCAGATGTGCTCCATACACCCTCACAATTGCACCCCTTCCTATTATGACCACCAGCATCACCAGGGCACGTCCCAGATGCAGGCTGAGCCTCCTTTGTTTGTGTTTGTTTGCTTCCAGCACCGATGAAACCGCAGCTGCTTCTCCCAGCCAACATCACAGGGCTGCAAACTGGGAAACAAAGCTCGCCGGGAAGCAAATCTGCAGATTTGTGTGAAAAATGCAAACTAAAAGTGAGAGAAATTTAGAAAGAAAAAAAAAAAAAAACATTTCCAAAATTCTCACTGGCAGCAAACAAAATATTACTAACAGTGAAGGAATTTGGTTGCAGCATATGTTTCAAATTGGTGCTTCCTCCTCACGTTCACCCACTCTGCTGAAACCGTGACACACGTGGAAGGCAGCAGACAGCACCAGCCCGGCCCTGGTGGGCAAACAACCATAGAATAGTGCTGGTTCTGCAGTCCTGGCGCTGTGCACCACCCAACAGCCTCATCCTCCCAACCCTCACCCTTCAAGTATCCAGCAGCACTGCTCAGACCCCTCTCAGCCTTCCCTCCTGCAGCCTGCACACCCCTCAGCCTGCTCCACGCAGAGGTGCTGCAGTCAGACGGGCAGCACTGCACGCACACAGAGCCATCCTCTCCCCAAATGTGGATGTGGCAAATGCAGCCACATGCTGTTAGCAACCACTGGAGGTGGTTCAATGGATGGGGCTTCCACGCGCGTGGAGCAGCCGCTGAGTCAAATGATGACTCACTTGGCTGGGCCGAAAGGCAGCACACACTGAGATCCCACTGCCAGCAGCTGTCCTGCAATAGCAGCAGCCCCACAGCCACCCCAGGGCAGCAGCAGCCCCACAGCCACCCTGGGGCAAATCCTCTACCAACTTCACCCAGCGTGGGGCCAGGCCTTACCCTATGCTCCATACAGAAACCCAATGATAAGCCCTTGGCCAATGCTGGACACGTTCTCAAACTACACTGCTCCTCCCCAGACCCATACAGACCATTGGGAACATAGGAGCCCCCCAGCCACAGCAGGCAGACAGCAGCCCTTAGTCTGCACAGAGAGAACCACAAGCACCAAGAGACCTCAACTCAACTACTGTCAGAATACCATGAGCCATCATGGCTCTATGGGATGAACACCCATAGGGAGCTGGGTGTTCATCCCATAGAGCCCCAGCTCTATGCAGAGCCCCACACTCCCCATAGGGTACCACGCCGGGCTCCCACACACCCCATTTCCTTTCCTGCCCATCTATGGTCTAGCAGCAGCTCTGTGTGCTTTCAGTTTCTGTGATGGCACAGAGCTGCTGGGTTCCTGGCACCCCCCCCAACCCCACAGTACACAGAGGTGGGTATGGGCAGAGCCCATTCCCAGCCCTGCCTGGGGGGCTCGAGGGCAGCTCCCTCCCAGGAGGGAGGTGTGTGTTGTGTGGAGCGGGGAGGTGCAGCCCTGAGACCGACCCAACCTGTACAGCAATTAGTCACAAGGCAGAGGGGAGCAACGTGCCCTTCCTCCCAGCCTTATCTAAAAGCTGCCTTCAGGGAGGGGGTGCAGGAAATCCAGTGGGAAGGAAACGCTGTCAGATTGACCCCCGATGTCAGATAGCTGCTCAGAGACATGGGTGTGCATTCTGCAGCAGATGGATGCTCAGAGAGGCTCTGCAACAGCAGTTCCTCGGCTTTGCCATGTTCAGCTGTCAGTCAGTCTGTCTGTCTGTCCCCAGCATGCAACCAAACATCCCACAGACCCCGTGCACCTCCAGCCCCCCTGCGCTAGCAGCTCTGCAGGACTAATTAAAACCTGACCAGAGCCTGATTGCTCTGTGCTAATAGCACAATACCTGCACCTCTGCTTTGTAGCCTCTCACCAGGACAGCTCCCACCAGCTTTTACACCACCAAGAGCTGCTCAAGATCTCCAGGGTCAGGGCTGTGTGCTGTGCCAAGATCTGACATAACACAAGTGAGCACCGTGCATTCTGTGACCTACAGATGAGATTTCCAACTTCAAACACAAACCTTGAAGCCAGCAGAACAGAGCTCGTTCACTGTGAGGTCTCCTTTGTAACATCCCACCAACATTAATGCCTTCACCACAAAGCACCTTCTGCAGACATGTCCTGAATGATGCCATGAAAATTCATGACGTTTCTCTTTACCTTCTGGGTGTGCAGAATGAGGGGCAAGGACAGGATAGGAGAGGACACTTCAGGACTGTCCCACAGGGCCACTGATAGCCACTGCTGTCTGCATGATCTGTGATCCCAGGGCAGGACCAACACAGTGCAGGAAAGAATCATTCAGGTTGGAAAAGACCTCTAACACTATCAAGTTCAACCACATCCCACCGTGTCCCTAAGTGCCACATCTCCAGGAATGGAGACTCCCCCAATTCCAGCACGTGACCTCCTTTTCCTAGAGGAAATGTTTCCTAACATCCAACGTGCTCAGAGACAGCACATAAAGCAACCAGAAACTGAGGAGCTGTGCCCCAATTGACAGAGTTCAGCGTGGATCCCACCTGCAGCATGGGAACAACCTGAGGGCACCAGGGCCACGCTCCTTGGATCCTCACCAGGGCTGCAGCACTAAGAGAACTGAGGAGACAGCAACAAAATTCACTGCAACATCATTCAGAGAACACTGTGACTCCTGGACAGGTCCGGCTCTGCAGCCCAAGGCCTTTCCTGATGCTCTGCTCTTGGTCCAGCAGTGCTGAGGGGCAGCACCACGCAGTGCACTCAGAGCTCCTGCTACTTACACAGCTTGTTGGGACTGCAGGACTAAAACTAGCAGCTGGATCCCACAGTGTGACAGCACTGAGCACCACAAACACCAGCATTCATGTAAGAGAATCTCAGAACTGAAGGGGCTGGAAGGGACCTCTATACAGCTCCTCCATTGCAATCCCCCACACAGCTGCACACAGAGCATCCAGCAGGTTTGGATCTCTGCAAAGGAGGAGACTCCCCCACCTCTCTGGGCAGCTGTGCCAGGGTTCTGCCACCCTCACAGCACAGAGCTCTTCCTCACACTCACACAGAACTCCCTGGGCTCCAGTTGTGCCCGTTGCCCCTTGTCATGGTGCTGGGCACCACCAAACACAGCCCAACCCCCTCCTCCTGACCCCAACCCTTCAAATATCCACCAGCACTGCTCAGACCCCCCTCAGCCTTCTCCCCTTCACATGCACAGCCCCCAGGGCTCTCAGCCTGCCCCCAGCAGGAGCTGCTCCAAGCCCCCACCGTCTCTGCACCCTCAGCTGGGCTCTCTCCAACAGTTCCCAGTTTGCCTGGAACTGGGGAGCCCTGCACAGGGCGCAGTGCTGCAGCTGTGCCCTCCCAGTGCAGAGCAGAGGGCAGGAGCACCTCCCTACTCTCGCTGGCCACACTCTGTGCAATGCATCCCAAAGTCCCATTGGCCTTTTGGGCCACCAGGTTACACTGCTGGCTCATGGTCAACTGCTGGTTAACTGCTGGTCAACCAGTGGTCAACTGCTGTCTTCTAGGACCCCCCAAGTCCTCCTCCCTCCCAGCAGCATACCCCCAACCTGCACCAATGCACGCTGCCATTCCTCCCCAAGCTCAGCACTCTACACTTACCCTCGGGGCTCTCAGCCTTCCCCCATCAGGAGCTGCTCCAAACCCCCACCATCACCTTCAGCAGGGCTCTCTCCAGCCTGCTTGGAACCGAGGAGCCCCGCACTGGGCGCAGTGCTGCAGCTGTGCCCTCACACTGCAGTCACGGCCATCTGCCCCCCGTGGGTGAGGGCAGGCCGGGGTCAGGGCCGGGGTCAGGCAGGGGCCGGGGTCAGGGCGGGCCGGGGTCAGGAGCCTCCAGGCCGCAGCCCCGCTCCCCCCCAGCAGCCCACGGGCTGCGGCCCCCCCCGAGCCTCCACAACCCCTCCCCGCAGCCCCGTGCCCAAACCCTTCACCCGGAGCCTCCCTCGCCCCTCTCTGAGGAAGGCCCCGCTCCCACCACGCTCCCCGCCGCCCCTCAGCTCCAAACCCTTCGGCCCTCCCCGCCACGTCTGTGGGGCGCGGCCTGCGCCCCTCCGCCCCGCTCACCGCGCTTCTCCGCGTCGTAGCCCACCAGCACGAAGTAGTCGGCGAGGCGGGCCATGGCGGCGGGCCGGGCCGGGCCGCGCGGGGAAGGCCGCGCTCACCGCCCGTCCGCCGCCGCCGCCGCTCTGCCCGCCCGCCAGCGCGCCGCCCCCGCCGCCGCCATCTTGGCCCCGCGCGCTGCCCGGCCCGGCCCGCCCGCACTGCGCATGCGCAGAAGCCGCGGAGATAGGCGGGGCCATGGCACCGCCGTTGGGGTAAAGCGAGTGGGCGGGGTTAAATGGGAGATGGGCGTGGTTTGTCGCTGAGAGGGGGCGTGGTGTGTGGCGGGGTGGGCGTGGTTTGTTGTAGGTGTGAGAATAGGCGTGGTTTGGGGGAGTGGGCGTGGTTTGTGTGGAGGGGGCGTGGCTTTGGAAGCGCAGGGCGCTCCTCGGGTGCGGTCCCGGATGGAGGGAGGGGATCTTGGGGTGTTGGAGCTGTGATCCTCGTGGATCCTCTTGGGATAATCCAGCATCCCAGCATCCCATCATTCCGTGTTGCCACGGTGATTCTAGCATCCCACCATCCCATGGTTAAGTGCTGGAGACACTTATGGGACATGCAGGGGTGTGGAGATGAGCTTTGCAATGAGAGCACCCCTGGGTTGTGTCCCAGGACCCTGCAGGGCCGCTGATGGTGCCACAACTCAGGAATGTCCCAGGCAAAGTTCCACATACCACGTCCCCACAGGTGCCCCTATGTCCCCCCACATTCCCATGTCACTGCATCCCTCTGCCCCTATGTCTATGTGATGCCCCTACATCCCTCTGTGACCTCGTGTCCCCATGTCCCTACATCCCTGAATCCTTCTGTCCTCGTGTCCCTGCATTCTGGTGTCCCAACATCCCCATGTCCCCATGTTTCTGTGTCATTGCAATCCCTGTGCCCCTATGTCTACATGATGTCCCTACATCCCTGTGTCCCTGCATTCCTGTGTCCCCATGCCACTGCGTCCCTCTGTCTCTGTGATTTCCTTCCATCCCTGTGACCCACTGGGGTGCTGGGGATACCAAAGGTGCTGGGGACACTGAGGACATTGGGGTCATTAGGAGGATACTGGAGACAAGTGGAGATGCTGGGGAAACAGTGAGAACACTGAGGATGCTGGGAACACTGGTGGCACTGGGAATACTGGGGATATCAGAGATATGGGGCGCTGAGGATGCTGGGGACACGTTTTCCCCTTATACTTCAATTTTTCCCCTTAACTCACCTGGTGGTGACTGACACTGCTCCAGTGCAGTGTTTTAGTGCTCTCCCACCTGACACATGGATTGCTCCAGCAGTGTCAGGCTGAGTGCTGCCCACTCCTGTGTCCATTGCTGCCTGCCTGCCATAACACCATTCTGCCCCATCTCCAACCCCTACCCAATCCCATGCCATCTCCACCTCTATCTTCATCTCCATCTCCATCCCATCCATCTCACCCCAATCCCCATTCCCATCCTATCTCATCCCCTCCCGCTCCCCATCCTATCCCCACTCCTTCCCCATCTTCATCCCAGTCACCATCCACATTTTATCTCATCCCTACCCCCTCCCCATCCCATTCGCATCAGCATCCCTATCCCCATCCTAATTCTCATCCCCTCCCCCTCCCCTTCCCCATCCCCATCTCCAGTCCCATCCTCATCCTCATCCTCATCCTCATCCTCATCCTCATCTTCATCCTCATCCTCATCCTCATCCTCATCCTCATCCTCATCCTCATCCCAATCCCAATCCCAATCCCCTTCCCCTTCCCCATCCCCATCCTATCTCATCCTCATCCCCCCACTTACCCCGAGTGGAAAAGGGGGAAAAGGGTGGGCAGGGCTGCCCCCCTCCCCTCCCCGTCCCCTTTGCAATTAAACAGACGTTAATTAGCCGAAAATAGCCAAAGACCCGCTGTCCCATTCAGGCTCATGCGGTCACCTCTACCTCCCGGCACTCTGGGGCTGAGGTGGGGGGCACACGGGGTGCCATGGGGATGGGGATGGCACAGGGACCCCCATCCCCACCATGACGTGGCTCGGATAGGCACGCTTTGGCACTGCTTGGCACAGCACGGCTGGACGCAGCTCTCCGAGCCTCGGCACGGCTTGGCACGACTTTACACGACATGGCTTAGCTTGGCACGGCTCAGTTTGGCATAGCTCGGCACGGCACGGTTCGCTGGCGTTCAGATGAACACGGCACAGCTCGGCACAGCTCCCCACGACGTGGCATCGCTACGCTCCAACCCGGGGCCGTGGGCACAGGTCCGAATTAGGAGCGGACCCGACCCCGCTCCCAGACGAGCAGTGCCGTGCCAAATCCCGACGAGCGAAGCCGTGCCGAGCCGAGCCGTGCCGCCCCGTTCCCCGTGGCTCCTCCCGCTGCTCCTCCCGCCCGGCGATATTTAACCTGGGCTGGGTGGGGAGCGGCAACGCGCAGAGAGAGAGGCTTCGAGCGGAGCCGACACCGGGACCGGGCAGCCCCACAGGCAGGTACGGGTGATACCGGGCACTGGGCGGGCTGGGCACCGGGGGAACAGCGCTGCTAGTGACGCAGCTTCGTCGCTGGGACCCCCGGAGCCACTTCGTGGACGTTGCGCTGAGCCGAACCGTGCCCATCTGCGCCCATCCCATTTGCGCCCATCCGAGTCCTGCCCGGCCCTGAGCCGCTCTCCTCTCCTCGCAGCAGCCGCCCCGGCCACGCCATGAGAGCAGCGCTGGGTTGCATCACCCTCGCTCTGTGCGCTCTACAGCTGCCCCACGGCCGAGCCCTGCCCCACGGCCGCTCTCCCAAGCACAGGTGAAGCGATCCAGCATTGCCCCGCATCCCGCAGAGGGGGCAGATCCGGGGGTCCGTGGAGGGGAGACGGGGGGGGGAGACTCCTATGGATCCTTTTGTGGTGGTCCCAAAGTGCAGCGGGGGGTATAGGGACAGAGGGGATAGGGAATGGGAATAGAGATAGGGATGGGATGGGGAATGGGAATAGGGGAGGGGATATGGGGATGGGGTGGAATGGGGAACGGGGGTAGGATGGGGATTTATGGAGTGGGAGGTAGAGGATGGGATGGAGAATGGGGGATGGGAAATAGGGATTTAGGGAATGGGAAATAGAGGAGGATGGGAGATGGGGAGAAGGAGGTATTTGATGGGGAATGGGGGTAGAGATAATGGATGGGACCAGGGAATAGAGATGGGGAATGGGAACATGGATGGGGGACATGGGGGATGGGAAATAGGGGAGAATGGGAGATGGGGAATAGGAGATATCTGGTGGGGAATGGGGACAGGGATGGAGATATGGGGAATGGGAGAGGGGATGGAATAGGAGGCAGGGAATGGAGAATGGAGATGGGGATGGGATGGGGATATAGGGAATTGGGAGATAGGGGTTGGGGAATTGGGACCAGGGATGGGGTGGAATGGGAGATAGGGAATTGGGATAGGGATGAGAATCAGATATGGGGAATGGGAGACAGGGGATGGGGGATGGGACCAGGGAATAGGGTGGAATGGGGATAGAGATGGGAGATGGGGAATGGGAACATGGCTGGGGAAGGGGGATGGGGTGGAATGGGAGGTGGGTGACGTGGAATTGGGATGGAGGTGAAAATC